ACACAAATTTCAAATGGTTTTCAACGGTCGTTTGATCGCGTCCAGTGTAGGCAGACTTTAGCTGTTGTAGACACGGTGTTACTCACCTATTGAGATGAAACAAAGCAACCTCGGCGTCCGATCGCAGGCCTCCGCTCCTTGAGTTCTCTCCAGCGCTGGAAAGCTGGTCCGATATTTACACGGGTCCTACTTCTTGCCTCATCGTTCCACAGACGTTTTCCTCTTTTGTTTTTTATCCGCCATCTCTATCTTTCTGTCGCTCGGCTCGGCTTGCTAATGTCCGTCCTGTGCACTGAACGCGCTCTCCTCCACTTCACGAGTAGACACGCCCCTTATTGCTGATTGGCTACAAGTTTGTTTTGCTAGTCGGCCCGAATCAGTTTTCTAAAGTGTTTTTGAAAAATCACTTACTCTGCCTTTAATGTATAATGAACAAACATGAATTACTATCGAACAATAATATACACTACCACTGGGGGTTGGTAAGGTTTGTAATGTTTTAAAGTCTCTTTTGCTCACCAAGGCTGCATTTATTTGATCAAAAATACAGTAAAAACAATACTATTGTGAAATATTATTACAGTTGAAAAGAACTGTTCTCTATTGTAATGCATTTTAAAATGCAATTTATTCCTGTGATGCAAAGCTGAATTTTCATCATTACTCCAGTCTTCAGTGTCACATGATCCTTCAGAAAGCATTCTAATATGCTGATGTGCTGCTCACGAAACATTTCTTATTATTATCAGTGTTGGAGCTGAGCATGAATATCAGGACAAGCCACATTCCCAAATCCAAGACGGTCATGATAATCTGTTTGACTACTTCCGCTGACTAGAGACGACAGAACAAAACAGGTGAACAATGGGAAGCAGCGATCACGTATGTGCTGATGCGGACTGTTGCGTTACATGAAGGTATACAACACGACATCCTACTTCCTCTAGATGATGAGATGCATTGTTGGTACACCGGCCACCGGATATGTAACAGGATATGTGGATGGAGTTTAAAAATATACGTGTTGACCGAGTATTGTTAAAAATGACAACACCAAGTTAAATCACCTACCTTATCCATTCTGCTTCCTGAGCAAATAGAGGTTCAACTACTCTAAACAAGTGTGTGTGGATGTGCATGTGCATATGAAAGTAAAATGAAAATGTTAAACAAACAAAAAGCCAAAACAGCATCAAGAATTTAGGCAGAGATAAACAAAAAAAAAAGAAGAAAAAAAAAAGAGGCAATCAACAAAGTTATTGGTTATTGCCATAGCCTTAGAGCAGTGATGGGCAAACTTGGCCCTTCCAGGCCACTTTCCTGCAGAGATTTGATCCAACCCTGATATGACTCACCTGCCTGTAGCCTTCTAGAAGTCTTGAAGACAATGATTAGCTGGTTCAGGTGTGTTTGATTAGGGTTGGAGCTAAAATCTGAAGGAATGTGGCCTGGAAGGGCCAAGTTTGCTCACCTCTGCCTTAGAGGAAACAGTCATGCAAAACCAGAAATGAAAGTAAATGTTCAGATGGCGAGAGATGAGAGTGGGCGGTATGATCAAAATCATAAGTGACTTCATATAACATGATGGAAATTCAACAGACAATTTAACAACAATTTGGTCACATCCACATTTAGACAATCCAATTCTGATTAAATGTTTTAATCCAGGGATTCCCAAAGTCAGCCAAATAATTACTTAAGTATCCCTTGAGATTTTAAATTAATATTTTAATAATTTAACAACATATTTGCATGTTCACGGTTAATGGTCACATGACATGTAGGAAAACAAATAGATTTAAACTTTTCAGTAATTGTTTTTGTATGGATAATAATAATAATTTATCATTTATTTACCTTAATCTTTATTGATTTATTAAAAATATTTTTTTTTTTTATGATTTAAGTCATTTTTAGCTATTCATTAACTTACAAAACCCCTGCAGTTCCCTCACAAACCCCGGTTTGGGAAACCCTGCTTTAATCAAATGAGATGAAGTAGTTTTCATTTGCATTTTTTCCTCTGTAACATGATGGATGTGAAACAAAAAATACGATTATTCATAACAAATAAACAAGTCTGGCATAAGTTCAAAAACACTGACTGAGCCTGAAACCTGTGATCACACATCAGCTTCCTATCTATACAATGTCATATTAATGTGATGTTATGTAACCATAAAACTAAACTCTGCGTTATGTTGTGCCTAACAATACCCATTCATAAACACTTTTCTACGAATGTGTGATGTATGCAGTCATACCGCCCAGGTCCATAGAAAAACGACACTATGACGGCTTTATCCTGAAGAAGTTTACAAAACAGCTGTTACCTAGATACAATCAGATCAGCTTTACAGCGCAACCCAGATTGACAACATCTAAATCTCACCCAGCAAGTGCATGATGCAAATACAAACAAACAAGCATTCTCTATGACAGGAAAAAAAGATGGACAGACAAGAACAGACTTGAGAACAGAACTGAAATGGAAAGAAAATCGCATGAAGCGCATGTAGATAGGAGTGTGATTGTGGCAAGTGGTGTGCGTTGTGTAGCTTCACTATCTGCTAGAGATGATGGGAGGGCTGCTGTGCACTTTACCTGAGTTGGGTGTTGCTGGAGAGTTTGCCTGGCTGGCCTGTGCCGACACATTGGCAGCATCCACGGCTGTTTTAACGGCGTACAGGTTTGCTTCCTCTTGGAACTTACCAATGTTCTTCTTGTACCGAATTCTCTTGTTGCCAAACCAATTCGAGACCTGAGGTGAAACAACTCTAATCAGACAACAATTTCATCACAGTGAACTACAACTAAAAGACATTACTGTACATTTCAAATAATTACAATTTTCATTTAAAGGATTCTAACATGGATTCTCATTCTGTGCTCATCCAGTCGATGTCACTGCATTCTGCTGAACTAAACTTACCCAACTGCAGTTTACACTACTGTCCAAAAATGTGGGGTCAGATTTTTTTTTCTGGCAAAAAATTAATACTTTTGTTCTGCAAGTATGCATTAAATTGATTGTGACAGTAAAGACGTTTACATTGTTACAAAAGATTTCCATTTTAATTAAATGCTGTTCTTTTAAATTTTTTGTTCATCAAAAGAATCCTGGGAAAATGTATCACCGTTTCCACAAAAATATTAAGCAGCGTTTCCAACACTTATAATAAATCCACATACTGGAATGATTTCTGAAGGATCATGAGACATTGAAGACTGGAGTAATGATGCTGAAAATTATTCACAAGAATAAATTACATTTCAAAATATATTCAAATTGTACCAATATTTCACAGTATCACTGTTTAAATAATTCCAGCCTTGGTATGAATAAGATAAATTATTCTTTAAAAAAAAATCTTACCGACCCCAAACTTTTCAAAGGTAGTATGGTATACTGCTATCATTTATTTACAGAAATTATTTTTAAATGAATATTTCTGCAATGCACTCAATTAGAAGGTTCCATCTAACGGTGCTTCCTGCATCTTGTTTTCATCACAGCTGAATCAAAAACATACACTGGAAACAAGAGTAGCCCATCTGCCATTAGGAAATGTTGAATAAGACTTCCTTCTTGTGAAATCATTTTTGTGTGATATCAAAAAATTTAATAAAATAATAATAATAATTTATCAACAAATTGTTCAAAATGTCATCTCATTCCATTGTAGGTAGCCATCTAGATATCTAATGTCAACTGTCCATGATAGCTGTAGCTTCTCTAATCACACACATTTTTGCTAACATTAGCTGCAAATGTTTCCTAATTTTTTCTACTATTGTTAGTCAAAGAATTTCTGCACAAAGAATTTCTGTGGACTGATCAAATAGAAATGTGCAGAAGTTGCTAACTGTAACTTTTGAAGCTGCTGCTATTTTGGCTGTTTTGACTTCACAAGTTAAGTGGGAGGAAATGGAGCGGTCATAAAATGTTGCCAACTTGTTATTAGTAGTTCAACAAACATGAACAGTTTTTACAAGTGGGAAACTTGTAATTACGGGAAGTCTGACATGATGTGAACGCAGCACAAGTTCACAGCTCAACTCTGCAGTTGTAGTTAAAGCGATAGTTCACCCCAAAATTTTAAATACTGTTAAAGTCATGTCATTTAAAACCTGAAAGACTTTTCCAAAACACAAATAAATATATATTGATTTATAATTACGCTGGTATGTTTTATCTTCTGTTTACCACATTTGATGTACTCTATGTATGTGCAATAATCAATGTTTATGCGTGAATAAAAGCCTAAATTAAATTTGTTCAGTATTTGAAAAATAATGTGTTTTTTGAACATTAAAGCATGTCAACATATTCTGTTACACCAAATACACAAAATAATGATCTTAAAAAAAAAGCCTCATATGACCCCTTTAAGTTACCAGAAAACTTGGATTAACCCACTCGATTCTCATGAATTACTTTTGTAATGTACTTGTCTTTATGAACTTTTAGAAGCATCAAGGTTTTGGTGTAAAGGACTTTCAATGGAGGGACAGAAATCACCCATGTTTAATTAATAATCTCTTCATTTGTGTTTTGAAGATGAACCAAACTCTTACGAGTTTGGAACAACATAAGGGTGAATAAATGACGACAGACTTTTCATAATATTTTTAAATCACTGCAATATGTGCAAAAAGTGCTTATCTTTGCGAAATGTGTGATGTCAGTAATTCCCATCACTAACTACTTGGGAGAATGGAAATAATGCTTAAGCAGAGACTGATCTGTATCTGCTTGTGATTTTTTTTTTGTTTCATGACACTCAGACGCTAACAGCAGAATTATGGACATGATGCAACATTATTGACAGGACATATCTCAAACTAATTACTGATGCTTACATGATCCTGTAATTTCTATATTTGATGAAAACCTTGTTTGACAAAGCTGCATAAATTTCATTAAAATAAAAATGGGGCCGGATTTATTTTCCAGGACATTTTTCCTAACGCTCCATTATTGGAAAACTGGATTCCAGGTTTTGCAATACACATGGGACATTTGTAGGCCATGCGTGACTATACCTGAGAGACAGTGATCCCACATTTCTTGGCCAACTCTTCCTTGGCTTCCTCACTGGGGTAAGGGTTGGAGAGGTGAGAGTAGAAGTACTCATTCAGCACCTCTGTGGCTTGCTTATTGAAGTTGCGTCTCTTACGTCTGAGGACAAAGTAAGTGGAAAAATGTGTGTATCATTGATAATAATTAGTGGAATAGTGCAGCACAACAGAATAAGACACCTACATTTGAAACAGCCACAGATCAAACAAGCAGACACACACACCTGGCATCAAGGAAGCGAGAGCGAAGGATCATGACGGCCTCACAGGTGCTCTGCTTGAGCTGCATCTGGATGGAGCTGAACTTGCGGTGGATGATGGCCACCATGCGCTCGATCTCTTTGGGCGAGATAGGCCGTGTGCGGGACTGTTCCCTCAGTAAGTTCATCACATGATTGGTGAACTCACTGCAAGCCTGTTTTCAAATAGATTTGAGGATCATTACATACATGCAAATATAAATTACCATTAAACGTTTTTGAAAGAAGCCTCTAATGCTTCTTTGCTGAATAAAAGTATTAATTTCTTAACTTAATTAATTTCTTGGACAAAAAACAAGCCAAACTTTTGAATGGCAAATATGTATATGAAACAAAACCTGAAATTTCTGAAAGACATCATTATTACTTCCCTCTCATTATCACTCCACCAGTGGATGAAATCAGTAAATTTGATTTGAAAAAAGAAAAAAGAAACAATTACATACACAAACCCACAAGAATCTGCTGAAATTACTTAAAAGGTCAGACGGGGGTCTGATTGTCACCTGTTCATATTTCTCTAGTTCAGAGTGGTAGATCTGGCGGATCTGTGCGAGTTTGGCTCTATAGTCTGAGTGCTCGATGCTGCTGTCGTTAGGTGATCCTCCAGCCGCTGCTGCAGCTGCGGCCGCCGCCGCTGATCCGCCACCCTTCTCGGGCCCAGACACTCCCTCGGCCAGCAGCATGTTATCCAGACGCATGATCTGGGGATCTGGAGGGTCCTCCTCCTGTACACCTCTGATGCTCAGCACTGCAGAAGACAAGACAACAGCACAACAGGGTCAATCAGATGGAAAGCTTTCAGAAACCAGTCACATCACACCATGTAGAATTAAGGGTACTTCTTTCCCTATACCATAGAAACTACTAAATTAAATGTGCAATTCCTAGCTGAGGCAGCAGAGGGCAGCATGGTACCTCAGTGGCATGCAGGAGCACGAGGTTCAATAATAGCAGAGCATGTGCAGTCACTATAAGCACAAGCAGCCATTAGTACACACCTCTCCGGCACTGAATTAAAGCAAGACCTCTGTCAACTTCCTGCTACAAGGCCATCGCTCACACCTATACGAGCACCTCGTCTACACTCCCATACATATGAACACACACTCCTGGCCAGTGACTGAGGGCAAAATGTAAGATAGATAATACAAATACATGACACAGAGGGTCTTTGTCTTTCCTCTAGACCACAGTTTCATGAACCCCTAGTGGTGTGCGAGAATGCGCTGGAAATGCCAGTGGCACATGAAATAACATGTAAAGGTGTTGCTTTTAAGTAAATGTAGAACAGGATCATTTAAATGTAATAAAAATAACAAAACGGAGCAAGCAAAGATATTCAATGTTCTTTCTGAAAGGTTAAATGGATGGTTCACCTAAAAATTTAAACTCTAGTCATCATTTACTCACACTCATGTCATTCCAAACCTTTTTGCAGAAGATATTTAGCAGAATGTCTAAGCTTTTATTTCCATGTTGCAAAAGTGGATGTGAATCAGGAACGGCTGCGAACACCATTCACTTTCATTGTATGGGAAAAAAAGAAGCTTGGACATTCTGCTAACTGTTTGCTTTTGAACTTCATGCACGAAGGAAAAGTCACAGGCATTTGGAACAACTTGAGAGTGAATAAATGATGATTTTAATCAAACTATAAACCTTACTCAAGGGAATAATATCTCAAGGTACACGTTTAGATCACTAAAAAAGTTCCCCAGACAATGTTTTGAATGCTTTGATTAGATCTGAACAGTCCTGCGTAAGCACAGCGATCGGAGACTCCAAAAGTGCATTGGGTTTGAAAGAAAGAGAAACTTTCAAACACAAATAGTGCAACTAAAAGGCCATGTGTTGGAAGCAATCAGCATTATGTGGATGTTCTGTCTGTACCATCCCCACTGAAATCAAAGCTGTTTTTCCCATCCTCCCTTTAACTGATAACACATTTAATGACTTCAGCTCATACCCTCCCCCAAAAACAGAACTAGTTTCCAGCTCTCCCCCCCCCCATTCTTTTTGAAAACTTTTTCTTTCCCTTGGCAAGCACTCTTTTTTTTTCTTGTTCTCTCTTGCCCCTTCAGGGTCCCTCCACTCAGGTCCTCCCTCTTTCTTTCTCTCTGAGTCACATTCCATCTTTCGTTTCTCCCCCTCTCTGAGCTCAGGAATGCAGCAGACCCAGCCGCCTGAACTAATGACCCTGAATCACCATCCCTCCCTCTTTCCCTCTTTACCTCTCTTTTTCAGCCAGCAAAACTCCCCAAAGTCAAAGAAAAAGGAAGAAGATTTTCTCAAGTACATTAAGTCTGATTCAAAGTGATTTCTGCAATAAGATTATTTTTGTGGATAACACCATATGAGCATACTGTTGTTTTATATGCACTATGAAGGCACACTATTTATTAATTTCACAGGAACAATAAAGAATAATACTGTTGAGTAAGATTTCATGCATTCATTTCAGTCGATGGTTAGGCTTTAAAACAAAAGACAGAAAAACTACATGTGAAAACCAGTGTTTACAAATGTGATTTTCATTTTATCCCCAACTTTTTTTTTTAAAGAACTTTAAACTGCGTTCTTCATTCTGGCAGTAAATGGCAATAATTACTCAAATTAATACAAAAAAACAAGAGAGAAAAACAAATCTACTTAGAAACATTTATTTTGCATTTCTATTAAAAACGTTGAACTCGCCATTCATTTACAATAATGATTTTAATAATAAAAGAGAGAAAAATAAACAAACAATTTTTAAAATTAATTCTGGGGGTAAATTCAATTATTATTTATTGTTATTATAAAACAGAGAGAAAACTATTTTTTTTTTTTTTCATTTTTAATAAAACTTTGAACTCTGTTATTCATTCTAGTTGTAAATTACAATGAATATTTAAATTATTACTATAATTGTTATTATAAAACAAAATATAGAAACCTGCTTTTTAAAAGCTCATTCTATTGTTCAATTTCAATAATTATTTAATTTATTATAAAACAAAAGGCAAAAATGTATTCAAACAGTATATTAAAATCTGTTTTACAAATATTTAAAAAATGTATAAAGGTTTTATTTCTATTAAAACCTTTAAACAGGTCTCATTCATTCTAGTGTTAAATTAATTTAAATGATTAATTAATAATTATTTAAATTTCTGTAAAGCATTCTCAGCATTACCACAAGGGGTGCTATAGTGCTATCTCTCAATTTTCTCTTCCTTCTCATATCATCTATCTTCAAGGCAGAGCAACAGTTTAACAATTGCCGAGAAAGTTCGTTAGACTCTTGACATGTTTGCAGCTAGCTAACTGAATGTCACACATTTTAATTGTACATTTCATCTGACATCGTTAGTGTCATAGTTACAAAAGAACATATGCACTTGTGTAAAACATGTGTCTGGCCTAAACTGAAAGCGCACCTCTGTTTTCCTGAATTGTGACCCAGACTCACCGTGCATGTGCGTAGTCTGATGGGTGAGGGGAGGGTTGTTGTTTTTTACGACCACAGCCCCACAATCAATAGAGTGAAATTTACCACCTCCCAAAAGAGTATCACCCACAATATCCATTAAGAGCTCTGCCTCCAGCCCAATCCCTCAAGCATACACCCTTTTCTTTAGCCTAATTATCTCAATTAAGCTGTGATGACTATCATTACACAAATAACCCACAACATTCGGCACTAGATGATATGGACCCCTTTCAATTTCTAACACCCCTTTATATTTAAATTTATGAGCCTTGATTTTGAAAACCCTAATAATGTAGCCATGAATAAAGTGGCGATACTGGTACGTTTTATAATAGCTTTGCGGTAAACGCTTACAGCTACATTCTGAATCCCGAACATATTAGCCAGAAAAGCCACTGCATCTCAATGTTTGTATGTCTTTAAGAAGATTAATAAAGCCAGCCTGTTAAATCTTTCAATTAGCACACTTCATTAATACAAACACACCGCCATGCTAATGAGATAATGTACATTTTAATGCGGTGCATCTGTCCAAGTTGCACTAATATCCTTCCATTAAATTTATGAATGATCGACGCGAACGCACACCCTCCTCGCGGCGAGGTATTCCCTCATTTGTGAAGGATTGGTGAAAACGTGCAGATGGGAAATGCGAAGGGCCGAGTGGAAAAAGCCAGCAGCCGTCCAGCCATTAGCAGACAGAGCGGTATGAAATATTCAGAGCGCCCGGCTGGGTTCGACCGCATACATAATCAGGCACAAGAACGTGGCGCAGGTACGGCACAGGTGATGTGTTAAGCGCAGACAAAGGTATTGTGTTCGCTACTGGAAGCAGTACATTAATGCTGCCATTTTCTGTGCATTACTGGAGAAGCAGTCCATCACGGCTGTGTTCGAGGCTCAGGCCTCGTCTGTCTTTTTCTCTGCACCTCTCTGGTTCGTTCACCCTCCCTCCTCCTTTGGCTTGGGCCGCTCTCCCGTCATACCCCGCCTCCTTTTCTCTCTGTGCCCCCAGCCACCTCCCCCCATCCTCTGCTCTCCATTTCAGTCGAGTTCTCCATGTGAGCCGCAATCCCTCATGCTGTCAGCCCCCCTTAAAATCTGTTTTACAAATATTTAAAAAATGTATAAAGGTTTTATTTCTATTAAAACCTTTAAACAGGTCTCATTCATTCTAGTGTTAAATTAATTTAAATGATTAATTAATAATTATTTAAATTTCTGTAAAGCATTCTCAGCATTACCACAAGGGGTGCTATAGTGCTATCTCTCAATTTTCTCTTCCTTCTCATATCATCTATCTTCAAGGCAGAGCAACAGTTTAACAATTGCCGAGAAAGTTCGTTAGACTCTTGACATGTTTGCAGCTAGCTAACTGAATGTCACACATTTTAATTGTACATTTCATCTGACATCGTTAGTGTCATAGTTACAAAAGAACATATGCACTTGTGTAAAACATGTGTCTGGCCTAAACTGAAAGCGCACCTCTGTTTTCCTGAATTGTGACCCAGACTCACCGTGCATGTGCGTAGTCTGATGGGTGAGGGGAGGGTTGTTGTTTTTTACGACCACAGCCCCACAATCAATAGAGTGAAATTTACCACCTCCCAAAAGAGTATCACCCACAATATCCATTAAGAGCTCTGCCTCCAGCCCAATCCCTCAAGCATACACCCTTTTCTTTAGCCTAATTATCTCAATTAAGCTGTGATGACTATCATTACACAAATAACCCACAACATTCGGCACTAGATGATATGGACCCCTTTCAATTTCTAACACCCCTTTATATTTAAATTTATGAGCCTTGATTTTGAAAACCCTAATAATGTAGCCATGAATAAAGTGGCGATACTGGTACGTTTTATAATAGCTTTGCGGTAAACGCTTACAGCTACATTCTGAATCCCCAACATATTACGAGCCAGAAAAGCCACCGCATCTCAACGTCTGTATGTCTTTAAGAAGATTAATAAAGCCAGCCTGTTAAATCTTTCAATTAGCACACTTCATTACTACAAACACACCGCCATGCTAATGAGATAATGTACATTTTAATGCGGTGCATCTGTCCAAGTTGCACTAATATCCTTCCATTAAATTTATGAATGATCGACGCGAACGCACACCCTCCTCGCGGCGAGGTATTCCCTCATTTGTGAAGGATTGGTGAAAACGTGCAGATGGGAAATGCGAAGGGCCGAGTGGAAAAAGCCAGCAGCCGTCCAGCCATTAGCAGACAGAGCGGTATGAAATATTCAGAGCGCCCGG